GCATATACATGGTGGATCTACCGTTGTACAAAATTTCAGGTCGGGTTCTCAAGAACTGACCCCGGTGCCACCTAGCCGACTTTACGCTGACGGACCAACTTGGTGCAAGATGACTTTGTGTCCGACAGGTGTGAAATTTTGTAGACATGAAGTTGCATGAAATACAAGCAACCGTAAAAAATATCTAAAGGTGGTTCTCAATACTCAGCCAACAAAGCCTCTGACGATAGTATGCTCATCAAGATATCTGCTAACTGGGAGATGGAGTCAGTTATTGGGCACCTGGGCTGATTTTTTGGGAGCTTAGGGTTAGGGTTTGTTAGAGTATCCTCCACTTGGACTAGAGCGAATGCAAAGGTTGCCGCTACAACTGTAGCTGACAAGCTTTCGGTTACTAGTACCTCGTCAGTGCAATGCGACTCTTTTATACACGGTCAAGTGTGGTTGTGTTAGGTGCATCTACGTGAACAAATTATGCTCGACTATGAGTACTAAGCACTAGGACGCCAGAGGCTCGTGAACGAGTATGACGACGTCGTACTTGTTTTCCCCCATCGACTCTAATTTTCACCAATAACACGTTTTTATCGATAACGATCGATAAGAACTGATAACAATCAATCGATCCGTGAAAACGGACGATAGATAAGAGAATCCCTTGTGAAACCGCTAACCATTTCACTCGATTGGTAGCGTTCAGTGCATTTTCATGCATAGATTGCTAGATCGGATGGGATCTAAAAATAGCTGATATCTATTTTTATAAATAGACGTCAGAAGACATGCCTGCAGGTGTTTCCGCAGTTACTCCGACAGAGCGGACCACCGTATGTCCGATATAACGTTTCTCCGAAGATTAAGCCTACAACGTGCCTAAGTTTCGGCAAAAAGAGGGGGCCTTTGTGATGTATGCTGTAGCGCCCTATCTATATTACAACGCGGTTTGGCCGCCAAACCGCATTACGTCTGATTCCAACCCCCATTTTTTGTGAGTGGCTCCGGTTGGGGATGGTGACCAAATATCCAAATTTTCAGGTCAATGTGCACCTTTCCCGCGGACGGTGCACCTGATTACTAAAAAAATTAAAAAGCTTAGATTTTTTGGGAAAACCTTCCCCACATTCTAAAACCCATCTTTGCAAAAAAAATATTTTCTTCATTTCGGGTGGCTGCCATCGATTCAGTGCACCATCCGTCAGTTTAAGGCACACGGACCTATCTCTATTAGTCGGTACTTAAGCAGCTTAAGTACTTTCGTTCGCCGGATCAACCTCATTTTTTGGGAGCACCTCCGCATCATCGTGGCTCTCTGGGTTCTGCCTTAAATCCCGCGTGGTTCTCAAAGCTGTGCTGTGGTTCTACCAAACAAAGTAAAATTTAAAAAGTCGTGATTTTTTGGGAGCAAGTTCCTGAGCCTTCAAAATCCATCTTTGCATTTTTTCACTTTGGTGGTGAAATTCGTTTCTTGAGAACCGGGGTCAGTTCTTTGGAACCTGGGCTGGTTTTTTGGGAGCAACCATATATATGGTGTATCTACCTTTGTACAAAATTTCAGCTCAGGTGCTCAAGAACTGACCCCGGTTCTCACCCAGCCGACTTTATGATGACGGACCAACTTGGCGCAAGATGACTTTGTGTCCGACAGGTGTGAAATTTTGTAGACATGAAGGTGCATGAAATACAAGCAACCGTAAAAAATATCTAAAGGTGGTTCTCAAAACTCAGCTAATGTTCCCTCTGACGATAGTCTGCTTGTCAAGATATGCGCCAAGTGGGGACATGGTGTCAATTGTTGAGCACCTGGGCTGATTTTTTGGGAGCTTGCATATACATGGTGGATCTACCTTTGTACAAAATTTCAGGTTGGGTTCTCAAGAACTGACCCCGGTGCCACCTAGCCGACTTTACGCTGACGGACCAACTTGGTGCAAGATGACTTTGTGTCCGACAGGTCTGAAACTTTGTAGACATGAAGTTGCATGAAATACAAGCAACCATAAAAAATATCTAAAGGTGGTTCTCAATACTCAGCCAACAAAGCCTCTGACGATAGTATGCTCATCAAGACTGGGAGATGGAGTCAGTTATTGGGCACCTGGGCTGATTTTTTGGGAGCAGCACCGTACATAGTCAAGTGACCGACGTACAAAATTTCACATCAGGGGTGCAACATCTGAGCTCGGTTCCACTGAATCTTCTCTGCCATCCTGCCAGACATGTTTCAGACACAAGCTTGAACTTGGCATTCCATCCAGTCATGACTTTAATCATGTTCTAACTATCCAGCCAAGATGTCAACCATGAAGTGCCCACAGCAAAGCCATGTATGTCAACAAGTCCATATTCATGAACATGAACCACCTCAGTGTCAGACATGCAAGTAGCATACCAGAACCAGACAGACTTGCACTCAGAATGACATGACTTGGATGTATGTCTATATGGAATAATCATGTGGACTTTGATATGTGCTATACCACTGACTGAAGTTTTTGAAAGATGAGATAAGAAAACCATACTTTCTAAGCTTGAAGCAATTCTTGTTGGAGATTCAAGACAAGGCAGATGCTAAGAACTTGGATGAAAGACATGACATCTGACCATCATGCAACATATCCAGTCATGACCACAACCATCTCCAACTGCTCTTCCACCTAACCATCCAGCCAAGATGTCAAGGCTCAAGTTAAGCAATGAAGACACTGGAGGGGAAGATTCTGATGTCCCAATGGGGCATAGATCTGAACCTCACCTTGCATCCAATGACCTGTATGCAGGAGAAATAGAATGGAAACCATTGCACGCAAGAATTCTGAGGCATCCTTATCATTGAACGGGGGTCAATCAACTCATCATGTCCCTCCTGTGAATAAGTTCTGCTCTGGTACACTTCCATCTCCATCTGCTTTTCAAGCTATCATCTAGACAAGATGCAGCTATATCAGTGAGGCCATGCATGTCAAGCAATGTCAACAAGTCGATATCTACCAACAACAAAGGATCTCAGTATCAGACATGGAAGATGAACAAGGTGTAAAACTTAGACTAAGTCAGCAAGTTCTTTACCATGATTGTCAAGCAACTTGAAGAAGTCCTACAAGAACCTTCTCAGCAAGTCCAAGCAATGAGTATAAGTGTATCTGCAGCAACAAGAACCAAGTGTAAGTCAGACATGCAAGTAGCATACGAGGACCA